AGCCAGAAGTTATAGGGTTCCGTCTTCCCCAGGCTGGAACCCTGGCCTGTGTGGTCTGAACTGGGGATGAGAAAACTCACTCCCAAGGTATCCCTCCTGATTTTTAACCACCACACGTGAGTGTGGGACTGTCCATTCTACCACCGCCTCCGCCTCCGCCTCTCCTTGCCACAGAGTGTTTCTTCTCCTCTCCTCTCCAACTCCATGTCTCTGCCCCTCCTACCCATCTAGATGAATGCGGCTTCTTTAAATCCTTGGTTGTGGGACTTCCATCCAGTTAGATTTCCTGTCAGTTCTGAGTGTTATTTGTTTTGAGGTTAGTTATAATTCTTCTTGTGGTTGTACAAGGAGGCAAAGCATGTCTACCTATGCTCCCATCTTGACTGGAAGTCCTATGTCCTATTATGAGTTTTATTTAAAGTCTTTTTAAGGTGTACCCTAGATGGGTAGCTGAGTTGATCAGAGCATTGTCCATGTACGCTGAGGTTACAGGTTTGATCCCAGGTCAGGGCACATACAAGAATCAACCAATGAATGGATAAACAAGTGGAACGACAAATCTCTCTCTCTCTCTCTACCTCTCTCTCTCTACCTCTCTCTACCCCCTTTCCTCTCTCTCAAATCAGTGAATTAAATCCATTTTTAAAATTTTATTTATTTTTAGAGAGAGTGAAAGGGAGGGAGAAAGAGAGGAAGAGAAACATCATGTGTGGTCGCCTCTTGCGCACCCTCTATGCAACCCAGGCACGTGCCCTGACTGGGAACACAACCAGCGACCGTTTGGTTCCCAGGCTGGCACTCAATCCACTGAGCCACATCAGCCAAGACTAAAATCTTTTTAAAGTCTGATACAGAACTTCAAGTTACACTAAGGATATACCTGTTTTTACAAAATAATCTACACATTTTTTTAAAAGAGAGAAGTATCACTTGGTGATTATCTACCTGCTTTAACATCCTAAGTTCATGTTACTTCGTTCTGTATTCTCCATGAATAACATAAGTTAGCACTCAGGACCGAAGCCAAAACTGGTACACAAAAACGGAAAGTTCCTCACTAGGGAAACGCCCCTGGCACTGCAGGGCCTGGAACAAGGCTGAGGCAAGAAGGCGCTGGAGCAGAATTACCCACAGGGAAGGGGAACCATCACTTTAAACCAGAAGAAGCTTCCGTCTGCTTCAGTGGCTTCAGCTATGATTAAAACAACATTCATTCATTTGCAGACAGTCACGCACTACTTCAACAAGGTATCACTACTTCAAAGCTAAAATGTTCATTGCAACCTCCAACAGTAATTTTCCATTTTGTTGAAGAAAAGCATACAAAGTTTCCTGTGTCTGTCTCCTTGCTTCTTCAACCAGTATAATAATCCCTTACATCTACTCAGTTTGCAGAGAAGAAGAACAAGAGGAGGTTTCGGCTTATGTGAAAACATCTACAGATGGAGAATGTTCTACCATTGCTATTTACACCACCATCTTGTTCGAACACATAACTTAATTCAGAGGCTGGTAAATCCTCATAGCTAAGAAATAAAATGATCAGGTTCATGAAGGAGATGGAAAGTAAAAGTTTCCTCTCTTCTTTGCCATGGCAGGTAAATGAATCCATCACGATTCATGGCTGGCTACTTTTTCAATGCCTTGTTTGAAGTGCCATTGCACCACTGAGACTAGAGAAATGCCGTGAAAGTCACTGTCACACAATCACTATGACAGTCATAAATAAACATGGCTTCAGGTAAAATACTATCGGCCACCTGTGCAAATGAGCCGTGTGGGTATGTGTATGCACACACATGCACGTGTAAATGTCTGTCAGGGAAAAACCGAGTAGAAGGGTGGGCTAGGAGACTCCGTCTTCGCTGTTGAAAAAATAACTAACAATGTGCACCACAAAGGATATAAAATATCACCTTCACGTGAGAAGGACACTGGCGTATTTTCCATTTCGTGACACAAATATCAAGTGTTTAGATATTGGGAGAAAGGCAAAATGTATTTGGAATACAACTTAACCCTGACCTTATATGAAAATAAACATTAGTCCCCCCTTTCCCTTAAAATTCCTGCATTACACCCCCCAAAAATCCTAATAGTAGCTATATCTTGTTTCCTAAGGTCTTATTAATTTCCTGCATGTTGCTAAATGACTCTCCCCACAATAGACGATACACACACATCACAAATCGCAGTGAGAAATGAGACGTGTTCTGCCTGCAGCTTCCTTTGTCCCGTTACGTCACGTCTCCTGATTCCTTCCATCTCAGCGATGAAGAAGTTGTTGAAACTTTCATCACCATTACACTTTTCTCCATTTGTTCTTTCCACTCCCAATCCTAATAGAACCTCTGGTCTTAGACTGCATTCATGTCATTAAAAATAAACACGAAGGAACTACAAGAGACAAGCAGACGATGTGCATTATTGCCACACTTATGTAGCAATGAACTCTCCCAGGACTCTCTCCCTGACAACAGCAGTCCTCACCGGCAGCGCCCTCAGAGGCCAGCCACGGAACCTGCCTACCACGGCCCACCCGTCCACGGAACCTGCCTACCACGGCCCACCCGTCCACGGAACCTGCCTACCACGGCCCACCCGTCCACGGAACCTGCCTACCACGGCCCACCCGTCGGTTCCCTTGCACTTCCTTTCCTAGTGTTTCTAAGATGCAAGCAAGCTACGGCCAGACAATCTCTCTTGTTATCAGAACAAGGGACCAAACCCTGAACATTGTACTTGCCAGAGGTCAATAAGAAAAAAAAAAAATTACCAGCAGAGCCTGCTGGACGTTGTCCCAAAGGTTATCTAATTTCTATCACATTTTTTCTCTAAATATAATTCCTTATATTCTTTCCACACATGGTTGTATATGTATCTAATCATTTAAAAGTCTAAAATGTTAACACTAACATTCAAACATTTACAGTGATTTTATGATGGCCAAATGAACTGAAAGAGATACATCATTATAAACTAAGTGTATATTCTGGCAGTTTCACTGTGTGGGGTGCCTTATACATCATTAGTAAGTCTCCAAAATGAACCCTGACATGAAATGATACCAAAAACCTCATTCTGAAAACATCTCATACAAAATGTTGAGGGGTTCCTGGCTTTCTGTTGTCTCAAAGGTAGACATGCCCGGAACTACCAGTGTCCCATCTTATCCCTCCCTCCCTGCCACCCCAACTCTTAGAAATGTCCTACACCTCAACAGTTTGTAAGAGTATTGTTTCCCTTTCTCAATCCATATACAGGGCGGGGCAAAGGTAGGTTTACAGTTGTTCATATGGAAAGTAATGCAATGATTAATAAATAACAACGTGAGAATAAATTGTGTTTCACATACTTACAGCTGTAACCCTACTCTTGCCTCGCCCTGGATGTGGGACTTCTTGTCATCTTATCAGAGACTCCAGGATCAATTTGCAACCATTCAATTTCAAGATTTAATATAAAGAGAACAGAATGCTATCAGTACATTGAAGTCTGAAATGAAAGCAAACAGGTTTGTTTCTAAATTCTTAAAACTACAGAAAAATGATAAGCAGACATGCTTCCTTTGACTGAAGTTCCACTAATAACCTCAATCTCAGTGCTGTGATGAGCATGGAAATTATTTCAATGCTCATGTGACAGGCACAAAGAGGAGAATTCTGAGCCAGAAACCTTGTTAAGAGACGTTTCAGTGTCTACAAGAAGCTACTGAATACTGGGGTAAGGGCATTAAAGAATCTACTCAAAACAAAATGAAAAAAAACACTAAAATGCAGTGTATGCTTTCTTTAATTCGAGTAACATTCTAACTCCAATTCCCAAATAGAAAGAAAAGGGGAAATACAGCACAATGCAGTGTCTCCTAGGGGAGGGGCTGGTCCAGGCTTTCAGACCTTGTGTTTAGAACGGCCCAGGGGTAATGATTTCCCTTCGGGAGTAACTTTCTCCTGCACTGAAGCGAATTGGAGTGAGAATTAGGGAGTGTAAACTGAAGTTAACTGCTCTTCAGTGTCAAGACTGGAAAGAGCTTGCTGCAGGCAATTACGCTGAGAAGCTAAGGCCTTGAGAAGGAATGAGGGGTGGAAACACCAGGAATTTTACAAGGAACTGAAAAAAAAAAAAAAAAACGGCCTTACAGTGGTAGACCAACGGTAGAAGGGCTTCCTCCATCTTTCATGCCAGGTCCGGGGCTGTTGTTTCGTTGTTTTGGTTTTTTGTTTTCTCTTGTTACTAACTTTTTCTGTGTGGTGCTTGCTGCAGTTTCCTGATGCGGTTCTCGGCTCCTGCCTGCCTTTGGTGACTCTTATTAACGGACTGGCAAAGGCTGGGTGAAATGCACTTAGGAAGAAAGAAATCACCTGTCCTTGCCAAGACGCACATGCTGCCCAGTACCTGAGGAAGAGCTACACTGTCGCTGGCCAAGAGAAACCACAGTTTAACCTCTGCCTCCGCCGCCCAGACCCATTGCAAACACAGGAGTGTGTGCCACTAGCAGAGAATCTGCCTGACTCACCCCCCCCCCCTTTCGGCGTGTCGGGGAGAGATGTCAGTGCTCCCCCTCCGAGCGGCCAGGAAAGTGGGAGCCCAGGTCTTGGCGGCAACGCGAGTGCCCCAAGCCTCCCTCGCTAGTGGGCTGCGGGACGCCTCCCCTCCGAGCAGGTGCCCGGCCACGCGGGGACCACCGGCCTCACGCGAGCGCACGTGCTGCCGCGCCGACACCCGGCCCGCCGCGTCCACCGGCCCCGCAGTCCCGGCAACCACGCCGGGCTCCGCGAAGGCGGCTTTACCGCGGGCGGGGTGGGGGAGAACCAGGACCACCCAAACTCCTCTAAACGCCAAGAAGAAAGGGAAAAAAAGTACTTTTCCGCGGAAGAAGCCCCCGCACCCCTCCCGCGCAGCGCCAGAGACGCCCGGCCCCACCGCCGACCTCTCCCGGCCCCCCGGGCGCGCGCCCCCGGCACCGCCGACCCGCTCCGCCGCCCCGGCCGGGCGCTCACCTCCTGGGGTCCGGCTTCCGTCGTTCCTCCAGTTTGGCGGTGGAGTGTCGGGCCGCCGCCGCCGCCTTTGCCGCCAGCACAGCTGCAACCGCCACCGAAGCGCTGCCCGGCGCGCCGCCGAGGCTGGAGGCGGGCGGCCGTGGGATCCCGGGAGGTGCGGGGCCCGGGCGCCGCGGGGCCGAGCAGCGGGATGTCGTCGGCGCGAGGTGCGGAGCGAGCGGGGAGCAAGCCGCCCGCGCCCGAGAAGTCACAACTTTGCCGCCTGGGTGGGCGCGGGCTGCGGGCAGAGGGAAGCGAGAGCCGGACGGGGGCGCCGGGGCCGGAGCGTCCCCGGAGCCGGCGGGACCGGCACCTGAGCGGCCCCGGAGGACGGGGCAGCGGGCGGCGCGCGGGGAGCGGTCTGCGCGGCCCGGGAGGTGCGCGGCGGGGGAGCGTTTGCGAGCGGCTACTCTACTTCGCCGTCCGCAGCTCCTGCGTATTTATGGGGCTCTCCGCTGTTTCTGCCTTTAACTAACACTGCGGCAGCGGCGCGCGGCCCGGGCGCCCCTCGGGAGCCAGCAGCCAGGGGACGGGGAGCCGGGGAGGGCAGTGCCACGAGCGCGAGCCCGCGATCCTCATTTAAAGCGGCGAGTGGCCTCGGCCGGCCCCCTGCCCTGCCCTCGCGCGCGCCCGCCCGGCCCCCTCCGCGGCCGGCCGCCGCTGGGCGTGAGCCGCCCCGGCCCCCGCGGCGACGGGGAGGGGCCTCGGGCCGCGCCGCCTCCGCCGGGGGCTCGGGCTCCGCGCGCGGCGCCCGCCCGGACCCGGCCGGGCACCCAGCTCCCGACCCGCCGCGCTCGCCTCCCGCGGTTCCTTCGCCCTCCAGCCCCGAGAAGGCTGCTAGGTCCAGCTTTATGTCCGATTCACAAGTTCCCCGCTGGGGAAAGCTTCTGTTCTCAAGCAAAACTGAAGTTGCTCGCGTTTCCGAGCTCCCGAGCACTTTTGACGCCACTTTATGAAACTTGAAGAGTGTGGGTAGAGGGCTCTCGGCACAGCTCTAAGTCACCGAGCGCCTTCAGCGAAGGACGGGTGGGGGTGCGCGGTTCTCGACCCTGTCCTTCGCTGATGTCGCTGCAGGTGGCTTCTGTCTCCCTCGAACAGTTTGGGAAACATCTTTGGCCACCCAAGGGAGTTTCTTTCCTAAGGCTAATTAAGGAGGTTTAAATCCCTTTTGCCAAGCAAATGATTCTAATAATATATCAGTGACCCAGCCCCATTACCATCAGTTAAGTAAACCATTAAGCCGTAGGGAACACACTGTCAACACAGGCACCATCTAAGGTTCTAAGTACTGCTAGAAAGTAGCCATTTAATGGATTTCGACTGCACGGCATATAGTGCATTTCCTATTAGTACATATTATATAGAGATATAGATGTAAATATAGAAATTATATATATGTGTGTGTATATATATATATATATATATATATATATATATATATATATATATATCCAGAAGTCAATGACCAAGCTATTTTCAAAAGTACCCACCAAACCACATAAAGCCCATGATAAATAATTTCTGATACTGAGTCCCAGTTCCTGGTTCCAAATCATTCTTCAGTACTAAGCTATAACTAGTAAAACCTTCACAGGAAGGGGGAAAAAAACTGGAGGAAAATAATTCGGGGGCAGAGGCTTTTTTTTTTCTAGTTTTTAAAACTGGAAGAGATCCATTGTACCTCACAAGTACTTGAGAAGCAGGTATAAGCTTGCATCTTTTTAAAATTCTGGCACGTTTAAAATCCTTGGTTAAAGCTCCGAAGGCACTGGGAACCACCCAAGGCTGTCCAATGTCTGAGATTGAAATGTACTAATGTCTTATGTCTGGCTCTTTGTCGTTACATCTGGCTAACATGTATGTTCACACATTTTACGTGACTCACTGCAGTGACATGAGAAACTCAAAACAGAAGTCTTTTTCAAAATGTAGCTTTAAACTTGCCTACACAGTTATGGTTTTTTTTTTTCAGACTGTTACAATTAACTTTCAGTACCTGAGCTCACAGTTAGCAAGAATAAGCGACCCCAAAGCAAGCTCCCCAAAAGTGGCAAAGGGAAGCCACTTTTGTATTAAGAATTTGCCACTGCTGTTCAGCAGTTTTTCGCACTGTGGATTATGTATTTCAACATAGCTGGCAATTTCTCATTATTATCATGAACCAGCCAGGAATGGTCAGCATTGGAGAATGTTTGGGAAAGGAAAAGTCCAAGAAACGTGTGCTTTCCAGTACTCTGCTGCAAAAGATACCAACATGTCCTTCACACAAGACAAATAGGTAACCCCTGGAGGCATTTCACTATCAAGATCGGCAAAACTCTGCCCCGGAAGGGGCACAAAGTTGGTGTGCAGGGTAGGTGGCAGGGAGGGAATTAGAGCGCTGTGAGGTGAAGTTTTTTGTTTGTGCCTTAAATTAACAAGAAAAATTGTGTCTTTGGCAAAGAGCCAACAACCTGTTATCATTCTCATTACTGGATGTTTGCTATCCCACAATTAAGAGAGCATGTTCCATTTTCTTTCCTATTGATTATTGTCTAGTAATTGAGATGCATGTGCTTTTTCTTTGAAAGGTCATTGATTAACTTTTCTTGTTAACTCTGCATGTGGTCACCTTTGCTAATGCTATTCCTGGTGAGGACAATAAATCTTGAGACCTTTTTTTCACCTATTCTAAAATTTGAGTTATATCCCTTGATTCTCATGAGCCCAAAGAAAGATTTATTTGTTCTGTTTGCCCTGGGGTTCACACAGCTTGGTGACAAGATAAATGAACAAAAAAAAAAAAATTAGTGGAATTAGAAAACCAGTATAAGTAATCTTTACTGATAATGATTTACTTATTTTTTAATCAATAACTCTCTGTGCTAAGTGACCTTCTAGAATACCCACCCACTATTGAGCTTATCAATCAAGTTTCTTTCATATCCTCCAAGGTCCTAATAGGCAACTAAGAAAAACAGAAAGATGGGAGGGAGAACCCTTGTTTCAATGACAAGCACCATCTAGTGGCAGCAGGCGGTGAAACCTGGCTCCAACAAGAAAGATGAAAGCTTTTGAATGGGCAATCCAGGCATTCCTGGTCTTGTATAAACATAGCACTCTGATTCTAAAACAAAAAGGTTGTATGTAGTAAAATAATGCCACTAATAGGCACTGTGTTGATTTTTCAAATTAAGTGTGGTACACATCTGACCAGCAGATAGGATTACTGCCAAGGAGAGTGTTCTAAATTTTTGTGTGTCTTTATATAGTCATGCCTCTGTATACAGACCTCTGGAGTTTTGTACTCAGAGACCTCAGTATTTGTATTTTCTCACTACATAAAATAAGGAGGGCAATTACTTGTACTAGAAATTATCTAAAAAGCATTTTTGTTCAGTAAATAGCAGAACCCATAAGTATAACTATTATGCACCAGGATTTTCCCATTTTTTTGTTAGAAAAGAAAAAAATGAATGATATCATTAAATGTTTATCCTGGAGTTACACAAAATTATAACAGTCATACACATCTCATTTCTGGGCCTAAACAGAAAGCTGGGAGTAGACACGTTATATCCTGTTACTGCCAGCTGCCAAGAACGATCGTGACCAGAAATTTTCTCAATGTTTCTCAGTGTCAGCTCCTTTTGAAATACATGCCACATCGGTGGAAGTTTGACAAACATTTTGCTATACAGAATAGAGAGTTTTGTTGTGCTGATATTTGATTTATGTTTCTTTTGTTATTAAACAATCTGGCAAAAGAATGATCATCAAAGTTGCTACTCTAAAATCATTTGAATCAACCACTACCTGGTGTAAGAGTGAGGGTGGAGAAGATTACTCTATCTCTTCCTGGGACTAGCCTGGGATGAAACTGAAGATAAGAATAGATACGGAGAGAGGGAAAGAGGGCACTTAAAGACCTCATTTTGGTTTCACTTACACTCCAGAAAGTTCATACTCAGTCCGATAAATTCAGCCAACCTAGACGTATAATCTATATTACCTCCTTCAAATCTCAGGTTTATAATAAGCCCCTTTTTACAGTAGAGAAGAAAGGCAGACACAGTTTTTGGAAGCTGTCAGCATGACATGCTAGGGAAAACATTTTCATTTGGTTAAATATGTGCCAGAAGTTCCTTCACAGCTTAAACAACTAAGGCGTCAACCATATCCAGTGGTCATACCTAAAGTCAAGTGTTAGGAGAGGTTCTAACTTCTAAAACCAGGAGCCTCTCTTGGTTCATGTTGAGGAAGGCAAGTTATTCAGCCTTTCTGGGCCTTAGTTCCCACAACAAAATCAAGGGACTTAAGACAATTAATTATTATTATTATTATTATTATTATTATTATTATTATTTTGATAGGAAACCAGACTATTTTTCTCTAACACAGAGTGAGCAATACATTTGTGATAGAGAAGCATTCATATCTTTCAGACGTGGCACTGACACATTTATTATGAATGCTCTGTTTAGTAACCCTGAAAGAGTTTCAGCCTCTTCCTCCTACAGGAATTCTCCCACGGATCAGCATAAGGCAGGACACAGGCCTCTCTGTTTAGAGAGAGAAAAAAAATTAAATTGAGCTACTAAGCCCCTAAAACCTATGCCTGCTGCTTAAAAAGATTGGTCTGCTTTTAGGTAAGATAGCAAAGAACTGCATCAGTCTCCTTTGCCAGAAGTGACTCCCGTGGCCCTTGGAATCTGGTAGTTGGGGTGTGTGTGTGTGTGTGTGTGTGTGTGTGTGTCCACACCAGACACAGAAAAGTGCTTGTTCCTTTGTATCCCACTGGCCTCCTGGCCTCCTTGGGAGAAGAATAAGCACAGATGGCTGGGTGCTCTAAAGTTGTTCTTCCTTGTCTCCTGTGGACTGAGTCACATGGACACACCTGTTTCATTGCTTGGAGACAGGTCTTCTACAGATCAACTGACCAGTGAATTAAACCAGGCCATGACTGTTCTCATCCCGCTGGTCTGCCCCCCACACCAGGCCTATCCCAGCACCTTGATCTCCTTGCAAGTGACAGAACAGCTGACACTTCACATGCATACCTACAAGACTCCGTTCTTTACGAGAGTGCTGCAAGATTGAAATCAATATTAAAAGCTGGCTCCTATCTTGAGGGAGGAAATGTTCTGAGCAAACTTGCCCTTCGTGGCTTCTCAGTTTCCTGATACTAACCAAAGGATGCTCAGTTCTACACAGACCAAGAAGCCTGCTGGGATCATCCATTGAGTCCACAAACATTTATTAAGGACCTATTTACTATATGTGAAGGACTCTTCTAGGTGATGTGTCCCTAGAACAAGCAGATGAAGTTTTTGCCTCATGGACCTTACAAGTAAATAAATGGACAGGTTAATTTCCATTTCCTTGGGAGGCAAATGGCTGTGAAGCAGTAAGTGCTGTGAATAGGGTGACCAACCACCCCAGTTCACAGTTCCAGCTGACCCCTGTTCCCCCTGTGTGATGATATCAGCATGCTCTTTCACTCTCAAAAGAAAATTTAGTGAGAAATGATAGCATCGCCCAAGCTCTAGAAAAAATAAAAC